CGGCTTTTTCTATACTATAATACGCATGTATTATATATATAAACCTGCCTCTTGAATCACTCTACCTATTGCAAAAAACGGTCCTAAAATCTATTGCGTAGTTTGAAAGATCTAAGCGAACAGACATCGGAAGTGACTCATTTTATACTACGTAAAGATTTACTAGGTTTCATCGCTCTTTGGGATATATGTTTGTTACGTATGAATTTATTGTATATCCAAGTCTGGCAACCATAAGAGAGACATGGTAATGAAGGAGTGCTATGACTTTCTCTTATTTTTTTTTATTTTAATTAAATTGATAAAATTACACACTCTAAATAAGATCATTGAACAACTCAACCAATCAAATTAAAGTTGCTTTGGATTTCTATTTGGTTTTTATTTACATTAAACCGGATAAAATTGAACTCTCCATTCAAATATAAATTCAAAAATCATTTAAAATCATGTAGGACGTTTTAACTTAGGAACGTCATATATTTATATTTATTTTTTCCCTACCGTCCAGTTCAGTTCTTCTCAATTGAATCTTATACAGATTCAAATGAGAAGAACTGGCAAGAAACTTAAATGAATTTCTTATTTTTTTAATTTTAATTTAATATCTTTACAATGTATATTTATATAGGTGTCTATATCTAATATTAAATGAAAATCCCGTGCATGAACAACTATTGCCATGCACGCTCGTCATTCAAGTAATCGTTTAGTGGGTAATAGACTTAGATCAGTCAATATGACACATTACATCTAAACAAAATCATTGACAACTCAACATATCAAATTAAATTTAAAAATGAATATTGTTTATGCTAACAGAAGTATTTTAACGGCTCAATAATTACTAGATACGAATGAGATAAGGGTGTGCACACATCCGGCGGTTGGTATTTGCTGTTTATTCAGCTAATCATTCCATTTCACGGGTTGTTTCACAAATATTGAGTTTTGTCTCAAGTCAGCTCACACCCTTAGCTGTTAATTTTATTGTCTCAAAGATTACACAGTTAAATTATTATCAAGTATCTATGTAGTTAACAATTTTTAGCTTCGAATAGGGCTTCGCCATAACGTTGTAAGGCTACCCATAAGGCTGTTAGAAAGATTTGTATTTATAATTACTAGTGACTATAAATAATTTCTGAGATTGAACATTATTCAGGTTCTATTTTCGAATGTTAGAAAGTGCAGTTAATTAAAATAAATACAACAAGGCGGCCTTATTGCTGAAAGCAATATTTACAAGACAATTTAAGGGTAGAATATACAATTGTGAGAAGTGGTGGGAATCAACATGCAAATATGAAAAGTAATATTTATTATCATCACTACATAGTATAAAACAAAGTCGGTGTTGTTGTCTGTCCGTCCCTATCTATGCTTAAATCTTTAAAACTACGCATCGGATTTTGAAACGGTTCTTTATAAACGATGAGTGATTCAAGAGGAAGATTTATATGTATAACTCATGCACACCCGTGCGAAGTTAGTAATTATATAAATAACAAGAAAGATAATATTAATTATAATAATTTTTAAATTACTCATTACTGTTTCTAGTCTCAATACATATTGACCTACTAATTAATAGATGCATATTGAATTAGTTTCTTTAGTTCCGCTACAATTAGCATGTGTGAGACAACAAATATTCAGTGCAGAAACTTGACTACCGTTACAACTTTATCTATTGGTGATCATATTCCGACTGTTATTGAGTCTACACCCATATTGCGACACGTGTTTCACCTCTGAACGAGGCATTATTAGGTTGTATTGTATAGATTCGGTCATAGTTTGGAAACCTGACTGTTCAGCGACGAAACCGTAACTATTAATGAAAGACGAAAGATTTATGCGTTTTGAAGTGAACGATCCTCATTCCAATTGAAACAGGGATCGAAATTACAACGGACTGAGCCGAGGTTTGAACTCTAGCGGTTCCCTCAGACTAAAGTCGTATCCGTCAGGCGGGAGTTGGCCTTCAGCCGCTTCATAAGTTCTACTGCGGGTTTGGAGTGCCATCTGCACTCGCCCCCTATCGTCCGGTGAAGCTGTAAAGGACGGCTGCGGCCAACAGCATTAGAGTAGTCCGAAAAAAAATGTATAACTCTTATAGTTTGCACCATCTAATCTAATCCGAAAAAAAAAATACTATTAATTAGTCGAGAAAATGTATCTAATTATCAAAACTTAGAACCAATCTCGAGATTTCATTAAAGAACACGCCTTGCCACTGCTCCGCGGAGGTCTATAACTGTGATATTGTTAGTCTGTATGATAACAAAAAAATCCTAAACAAATAGAGATGAAATAAAAACTTAATGCAGGTACGTCACGTGAAGATAGCGAATCACAAAGAAAGGGTTTTAATTAAACAGTTGTTTAATACCCCCGAGATAATGCCGCAGGAATCTGAAGCAGTGAAAAAAAATGTTTTACTAGTTTATGGGACACGCATTTGACTAGTTTTATGGGTATTTTTTTTACGACTGCCGAGAAAAAGAGTTTTTTTTCAATGTACTATGTTATGTATTATATCTTCATATCTCTTATTGTGAAACCTTTTTTATTGTATATTTCTTTTATAAACACTATATTGTTTTTATATGACATAAGTCATTAATACACAATTATTTTACGACTATACCGGTGCTGTTTTCTTTGCTCGTCGTCTTGGTCTCCATCCTTCACATTTTGAAGGTGGACCAAAATGTGATAAATACAAATGATTTATAAAACAGTTTCCAACACTTATAATATATATAAGGAAGAAAGAAAGGAAGAAATTTATTGTACCTATATATGTTTATTACCTATAATAAAATACACATTTTACTATTTTCTAGTCGACGGTCCTATACTATTATTTGGCAGATGAACTTGATATGGCGTTATTTGTTCAGACAAGAGGTTTTATATTTTAAATATCTTAGACATAAACACTACATATATGCTGTGAATTTTTTTTTTTTATTACATTTACGTAGAGTACTATTTAAGTAGAATTTACTGTACATCTATATATCCTTTTCTTTGAGTGTAAACACAAACTCGAAGTCATATTTTTTAAATTAACAAACTTATTGAAGGAGCTCGAGTTAGTTACTCTGTAATATCACTGTTTAATCAGCATCCTACAAACGAAACTCTACATATTATATTGTTTTTAAAAACCAGGTAAGCTAAATCTATCTTATATATAAAATTCTCGTGTCACAGTTTCGTTCCCATACTCCTCCGAAACGGCTTGACTGATTCTCATGAAATTTTGTGAGCGTATTGAGTTGGTCTGAGAATCGGCCAACATCTATTTTTCATCCCCCTAAATAGGGGTAGTCCACCCCTAAATTTTTATTTTTTATTTTTAGGCAAATCAACGTTTGCCGGGACATCTAGTATTATATAAAATAATAACAATAAACCCAGGACAATTCCTTCAGGTTTGATTATACAACTGACATGTTTTTTTAAACACTTATATTATACTGGACGCTTTTATTCTGTCTGGAGTTGCTTGCAGATGATTGTTCTTTTGTTCTTTGCTTTTTGTTCCTATATTTCAAATACACTTTATACAAACTATTATTGACGTAGGTAGATATATACATCCGAAATACAATAAAAAATTAGATACTTATGAAAGTTATACAAGACTTGTGTTAAGATAGAAAATAAGCACTCAGTTCCCTCTGCCTATCCCTTAATGGATTTGGCTTGAACATAGATTACAATATCGATACTACATAAAGTATCTTTTTTATTTATTTAATAGGTAGGTATATAAGTATAAAATTCTCGTATCACAGCGTTTGTAACACACAAACAAGACAAAAGTCTTGCGCAGCGGCTTGACCGGCTCTTATGAAATTTTGTGTGCATTCAGTAGGTTTGAGAATAGGACGTACCTAACCTATTTTCATACCCTAAATGGTACGAGTGTTCCGCTAAAAAAATATTTATCTATTATTTGTTTTTTTTTTATTTGGCATTAAAAATACATATAGGTGACCCTAAATTTTCACCCTTCTACCATCAACCCTATTTTAGAATAGGGCTATTAGTACTATAATAATTTTCTACTCTTGGCGGTCCATAAAGGATTAGGTAATTTTTAAGACAAAACAACGTTGGCCGGGTCAACTAGTATCATTACAATTTTACAATATAATTTTGCAAAACATCGTTTACCGGATAAATTAATAATGATTATATGTACCTATATAGTTACATCAACAGAATAGTATTATATTAAAAATTATATCTGTATGATGTTTTTTTTTTATAGATGATAATGGAATGGTGCACCCGCCTGCGCTAACGGTTTACGCTGGTTATGATAAGATGAGCATGAGGTCAGGTCAGTTAGCCCATCGTGACAAATTCTCTGTATGATGTTGGGTTTATAAAATTAAGTAGGTAGGTATTTTTACTTTATTTTAATATACTTTGTTACATTGCAAATGACAGAAATATAGATACTGGTCAGAAAGTTTCGTAGGTAAAATATTCTTTTTTCTAAATATGAAAAAATAATTTAAAAAAATATACATACTGTTCAAAAAAGTTAAGTAAAATAATATTCTATTTTTAAATACTTAAAGAAATATCTATTATCTTTTAATGTAATAACTTAATAATAGTATAATTTAATTTTAGTTTTATTTCATAAACCACAGAGGATCGTAAATTAATTCAGTGTTAGGTTATATAAAATGTTCTTACATAGTGTAGTGTGTAACCTCCGAAGCTGAATATGAAAATTTCAACTATGAAAGAAAGGAGAAAGCAATATTCTTTTTTAGTTCTTTTCTTTATAACTTTAGCACTTGGCTTTTATTTTGAAATTCAATATACATTTCTCGTATCGCGTAAAATTAATAAAAAAATTGATATCGCAATAATTTTAGAAATAAACAAAAGTAGAATGTGACTTTACCTACTTCCGAAACTATAACCTAATTAAAAAATATAAATGCTCGTACGTAAGTACTTACCTTAACCTCTTCGCTTCATCAATGAATGGTCGCTTCTCCATTTCAGTGAGCAACTTCCACTCGGCGCCCAATCGCTTCGATATCTCTGAATTGTGCATTTTGGGGTTGTCTTGCGCCATTTTCCGCCTCTGACCTCGCGACCATACCATGAACGCATTCATTGGCCTCTTTATATGCTCATTTGTCTGCTTTCCGAGCGACATTGTAGAATAAATTTTGAAAAAATTTTAACTCAAATTCTTAATTCAAATTTTCTAACTTTTTTTATTACTCACTATTGTTCGTTTGGACATCTTATAAACAGCTATGTTTAGATATCAAAAAATAGTTAAATGTTTTGTTCGTTCTTTAATTAATATATTTGCATACTTGGTATTAATAGTCAGTTTTATTAATGTAAGATAATTCAAATGCCATACGAGTATTATTTCTAAAACATAAAACTACAATAACCGTACGGTGAAATAATTAAAACAATATCGTAATATGTAAATTCCCGCGCGTGAAAAGCTCCCGAAAGCTCAATGCGGCGCTTTTCTTGCTTGTGTCATGTTTAACCGAGACCTCGGCTCTGTGCCCCCCGTTGTGTTTTTCCCCCCTCTAAAACGACCGGCCAATCACAGGGCACCGTGGGCGTATGCTGCATTCTGATTGGCTGAGAAAACGTTTGTCTCTCGCGCCTTCAACAGGTAGCCAGCGCGTTCTTGTTTGCATGTCTATTAGCAAGATTAAATTTATTTTTTAACCGCGATTTTCTGTAAAAAAGAACGGGCTTGTCCGTAATCGAATGGAGATTCAATTCGCGCGGGAACGTCGCTCTGTAATCATTATTTAATGGTAGTGGTGTTTGGAGTGATTTTTATAAATACAACATTAATTCCCAGTAACCAACCGGATTTAATTTACTTGAAGAACGATTAATATAGGTAGATAAATTTGTAATAAAAGTGGGAACAAAATTACGTATCAAGCTCAAAATTGAGGATAAGTACTTAAGTATAATATATAGGTACCTACCTACTACATGACCTTTTTGTATAGGTGAATATTTATTATTTATAATAATATGTGTTTGTTTGAGTAATTACTTATAGAAATTATTCTCTAATTTAAAGTAATTTATTTATTATTAAATGAATGAATGAATGAATGAAACTCTTTATTGTTCCTCTCACATAAAATACAATTAGGTACATATACAATTATGTATAAAATGATAAAAAAAATATATAATACAATAAACAAGACAAAGAGGTAACAATTATTCTACACACCAAACATGACGGTTTTAATACCTGATGGTATAATATATAGATTTTTCTAACAATAATAATAAATATATTTTTATTTTGAATGGCTTCATCGATTTACGAAATTTTATATGATTATTCAGTAGGTCTGAGAATCGACTACTATCTATTTTTTATACCCCTAACATTTACTTTAAATTTTTTGGACAATTTTTTTTATTTTTTATACCTCTTACATACAACCCTTAATTTTCATCCTTCTATTGCCTCTATTCTTAATAGCGTTTTTAATTTATATGCCAAAACAACGTTCCGGGTCATCTAGTTTTTATATACGTATGTGAATGTCACTGACAGTTATAATCGCGACACCGTGATATTGGTATCTTAAGGCGTGTACACACGGTCCTAAAATTGGTGACGATAAACACGAGCTAGGTAATCTTGAAATTTAATGTTAACGTTTTTTTTTATTATTAATTTGCATGCTCAAAATGTTACTAAATAATATTAGTATCTTAAGGCGTGTACACACGGTCCTAAAATTGGTGACGATAAACACGAGCTAGGTAATCTTGAAATTTAATGTTAACGTTTTTTTTTTATTATTAATTTGCATGCTCAAAATGTAACTAAATAATATTGGTATCTTAAGGCGTGTACACACGGTCCTAAAATTGGTGACGATAAATACGAGTTAATCTTGAAATTGAATATTAACGCTTTATTTTTTTATTATTAATTTGCATGCTCAAAATGTAGTTACATATGGAATATGTATTTATTCTTAAGAACAATGTAACATAGGCAAATAAATAAATAAATAAAGGAATTTATTAATCTATCCACCTTTGTTTAAATAACGTCTGGTGAACTGTGATATGATGGCCTACACAATGTCAGCGCTGGTACAGTAAGCTATCACAGCATATGCCGAGTGTTGCCAACTAATAAATGTAGAAGAGTAATTTTGTGCAATATTATTGTAATTATAGGATATTAGTTGACAATAAATTTATTTTCTTTCTTTCTTTTAGTTTGGTAAAGAAATATTACTGTGTTTGTAATATTATAGTTTTAATGAAATATGAATTGATAAATTCATTGTTCACTGGACATATTAATTGTGACAAGATCGGGAAGAAGTGGAAAAAAACATAAAATAAAACAATAAAAATGTTATACCTAAATTTATTTTTAAATACTTGCCACTTTAAATATTGTTTTGATTACAAATACTTTCTTTCTTACATCTGATATAAAAATCTTAATTTAAAATAACTATTTAACCATTTTTTTTTAGTTTGGCTCTCTCTCCATACCCGTTTTTATGGGCAACTACACTTGACATATCTACAGTCCCCTATATTTTAATCCTATGAATATAAAGGTGAGCCTAGCGCCATTTCTAAGAGTGATACCAGTAAATATTAAACACCAATGTTGTTAGACTTTACATGCCACCTGTGATACCTACCGCCATCTCTAATATTGATACCAGTAAATATTAAACACCATTCCTGTTAGACTTCACATGTTGCTTCTGACATTTCATTGTACACATAAATCTTAGCACGTAAGATATAGTGGGTGGGGCTGGTGACCCGTAATACAGGTTCTTCAGATACCTAGTACAGGTACCAGTTCTCCACAAATCTGTACTTTAACATTAAATTTACAAGCTCCAATGGTTCTGTTTCACTTTATATTATGTCTATGTTTTGTGGAGAGAAATAAATATATTACTGTTATGCCTACCACCATCTCTAAGAGTGATACCAGTAAATATTAACCACTATTTCAGTTAGACCTTCCACGCCTATCAATATGTAAGTACTAATATGCGGGGCCTTTATTCTCGTAAACTGCAATGCCTACCGCCATCTCTAAGAGTGATACCAGTAAATATTAACCACTATTTCAGTTAGACTTTCCACGCCTATCAATATGTACCTAAGTACTAATATGCGGGTCCTCTATTCTCGTAAACTGCAATGCCTACCGCCATCTCTAAGAGTGATACCAGTAAATATTAATCACTATTTCAGTTAGACCTTCCACGCCTATCATTATGTAAGTACTAATATGCGGGGCCTTTATTCTCGTAAACTGCAATGCCTACCGCCATCTCTAAGAGTGATACCAGTAAATATTAACCACTATTTCAGTTAGACCTTCCACGCCTATCATTATGTAAGTACTAACATGCGGGTCCTTTATTCACGTAAACTGCAATTAGTGCGCGTTGTCCGCCTGCGGTCCATTTGCATGAGACGCAGCGGACACAAACAATTGCGTGTGAATGGGCCCTAATGGAGATATTCACAATTATACTGCCGCCTGCAGTCGTATAAGGAAAATGTTTATGTATGTTATATGTTATATAGTTTTGAGCTGTGGCTCTGTCTGTATGACAGAGGTATATTAATAATAAGTATTTGATGAAAGTATAAGGCTGGCCAACAAGGAATTAATCAAATAATAATCACGATAAAAAAAAAACATACATTTTTATATAAAATTTAATTTTTTGTATCTCTGAAATTTTTATTATGTTAATGCATAAATATACTATTAATTACCGTTTAAAAAATATTTTATTAAATCTTAATTTCCAAAACTATTCATAAAAATGTTTCCTTCTATATTTTAAAAAGAGCAACACACAAGTTTCTTGCTCGTTCTTCTTGTGATGAATCTGCATTCCGAATGAGTGGTAGAATCAAAATATGACTATTCAAAAGTGCTTGTAATGAGTTTATTTGAATAAAGATTATTTCTATTTCTATTTCTATTTATTTCAGATACAGATATTTAAATTAAAAATCCGAAAGCATCTAAATATTTAAAGGTTTGCTACATAAATAAACAATATTCTACGGGAACCTACGGAATACTTTTTATGTGTTGAGAGCAGCGCCGAGAGTTAGAATTAGTGTTGCATAATAGATAAATTCATGGTGAATTTACCGCAATGGATTATCTGAACTGACCTATTGCTCATCTTATCCTCTACTGGTGCCCCGCCAGCGTAAACCGTTAGCTTAGGCGGGTGAACCAGTACATTATCATTCATAAATACACTTAGGTACGTAGGGGGGAAAAGGGATTGTTACCTAATATACAAAGTAAAGTGGACTGATGACGATGATGATGATGATGATACCATGTAAGGTTGACCTTCATACAATACCCCTGGAAATCATCGTAATAGAATTATGGTATATTTACCAGTATGGGCTAACTGAGCTTTAAAAAAAAGTAATTCAATAGAGTTTCTTGCCAGTTCTTCTCAATTGGATCTATATACCGAACTGGACGGTAGGGAAAAAATTATAATGTAAATACTTGACGTTCATAAGCGGCTAAAATGTCCTACATGAATAAATGATTTTTGAATTTTTAATTTTGACCTAACCTCACGCTCATCTTATTCTCTACCGGTGCTCCACCAGCGTATACCGTTAACTCAGGCGGGTGCACCGTATCATTATAACCCGTAAAAAAATACACTTAGGTATATAAAAAAACAATAAATTGTTCTGGAAACTTCCAAAATATTCCTGTATACGACCACAGATAATACAATATATACGACTATACATTTAATTATCAATTAGGGCGGCATGACCGCGTGAAATTGAAACAGACCATTCACGATTGTGTTATGAATTGACGCTTCTGTACACAATGTATTGATCAATCCATATTTGATTTTAATGTAACTTACGACGGTCTTGTGGTGTAGCGGTTGAGCACACCGCTTTACTGCTGATGGTTGTGGGTTCGATTCTTCGCACGGTATAAACATTTATATGATTGTTTGTATCGCTTTGAGTGTTTTGTATGTATATTATGTATGTATTTATAAAAAAAGTCTATGTATTTGTATCAGTTGTCAAAAAAATATATCTCAGGACAATTCAGTGTCTTCTAGTCCTCAGCTAAGTAGAGCTTGTGGGATGGATACTAGACAACTGATATAAATACATAGATACATTTGTAAATAAATACATAATATACATAGAAAATATCCAGAGCGATACAAACAGTCATACTCATGATTACAAATATTTGTACCCTGCGAGGAATCGAACCAGCGACCATCAATAAGGCGGTGTGCTAAACCGCTAGACCACTGAGGATGTCAAATAGCCGTATACTTTTTTAGATGATAATTTTCACGTGAATATACTAAAAACAATTCCGATTCGACGATACAATATCACGTTACGT